GCATTTATATTAGTAAGATTAATTTAAAAATATGCCTGAAATAGTGAAGGTACATAATATTCCGATATTTTGGAATAGTTATACAGTTATTTCATAAAGATAATTAAAGTAGAGGCAAGAGATATGTGCGAGCACCTTGATGGATGGAAATTCGTGATCTCTACCTATCTCTCCGTAACCTGGGGTTAATAGTCAATTCATGGGTAAAATCTGAGAGTGAGTACTTAATTTATTTAATTAGAAATTAATACTTCTAATACATACCTTGTGCAAAAAAGACACAGTTGCAGTATAAAATGGCGATGCTACAGTTTCTACGTCATGTATACCAAGTAACGTATGTCTGTAAAATATAAAAAAAATGCAACTTTTTTCAGTGAAATGTCTGCATAAATGGCGCAGGGGCGGTTCCATCAATATTTTCCGCTGGGCGGAGTCAAAGAGAAAAATCGCCGCCTTTCTCGCGCCACGCCCATAATATGCCGCTTTTCCTCTGAACCATTACAACCGCAATGCTTTTATTGCATATATGTTTGTACTAAACAGTATCTATGTGAACATTTGCGAGTAACACTTAATCCGCAGTTGCTTCATGCAACGCAAACGGATAATGTTTTCAATCCCGTTATGAGAATTAAAGTGTCAAATTAAATATTTTTGTAAGGAGACAATATAGTTAATTTTAACTTTCATACTCATCGTTTCATAACCTTTGAAAATGTGAATAACAATATATGTGTTCCTAAACATTTTATCAACTAATTTCGAAAGTTCAGTAACATGCACCAGTACTCCGGAAAGTTTTCTGCTCCAAACAATATTTTATCAACGATAATTATTATTTTATGTGGTATGTCTAAATTCATAAAAAATCATGTCAGCAACAATGAAGTTTTGGTTCTTGGAAGTCCCAACATTTTCTCATAAAAATTGTTACTCATTAGATAGTTTGTGATACAAGGCTGTTTATATCCTGTAATGTTATAAACTAATTATTATTGAAATTAAGGGAATGTATAAATATATATTCTAAAATGACTACGATTCAATCTGATTGTATTTCAATTCACTGTTACAATAATATTAATGAAAGTACCACTCTATTGCTCTTATATCTCATGATACGTGATTCCAAATATTGATGCTAAAGGGATATTAAAGTGTGTCGGCTTCCCGTCGAGTGCATCGCTTTGACCGACGAAGCGGCAAATATGGCTGCACCGACGGAACTCGAACCGACTGCCTCGGCCGCGGAGCCCACTTTCATGTGCCCCCAAACCATTTAATATTAGGTTGCGACAAACGCCAGACTGAAGCCCCAATCAATAGGCCTGTGCATACATCAATTATTTGATTTATGTTCCGTGTTACGGTTTAATTAAAAATTTTCACTTTAAGCATTATACATAAGTACATTTTTAATTAAAACACATCCATTTTTATTAGACACGTTTATTTTTTAAAATTAAAAAATATATTTTACTTCTATTGTAAGCGGCGAAAATTTCGGTCTGTGTCAATTCCTATTTTATTAAATTGCTGGGGCTGATCCTTCTAGCATACATTTTTATTCACATCGATATTTAAGAAATTCAATGTGTAATTTTCTATTCACAAACATAAAATGTCAAAGAAAGTTATTAAAACACAAAAGACAAGATAGAATTTAATTAAACAGCTATCCCTTGTCCGCCGCAAATAATCCGCAAAATGTTAACAAGTTATAAAAATTATGAATTAACGTCAGTGAGACGAGGGTAGGGCGCAGTTCGGCCTGAGGGCGACAACAAAAGCCGCTCCTCCACAGCGCCCAATAAAAACTTGACAAATGGCGTTTCATAATCACAACGCATTCCGAGCCTCGTCACCAGTTTACCTTTTTGTCCTCCCTCGGAAAATATGTCCTCCAGGAACAACATAGCGGTGACATCGCCTATTGTGTTTCGGTTTGCGTTCCGTTGCAATTACAGTCAAATCTCGAATCTGAGTGTAACCGCAAATACCCAAGTAAGCACGCACCTAGAGGCTCAAGTTCACTAGCTGTTAAAGCCCTCATTATTGGCTACTTGCGACGCAGTGAGTCTCAATTAACGCGACCGCATTGCTCTGTTGCGGTTTGCATTATCTCGATAGCCATACGCTCTCGCCTTGTTATAGTCGTCACCAGTGATGCATTATTAAGTTTCCTGACCTTAGTGACCTCAGCTGTGCTTGTATTGACCAGCTAATTGATATGCATTTACATCTATTCAAATATGATCGTATTAATATTAATACACAGGACCCATTATAGGGTATTTAATAATTCTGTTACAGCGACAGACTAATATTAAGACTAATTCAGTAATCCTAGCTCGTCATCGATATCATTTATAAGACCTTTCCTTTCTAAATAAAAATGTGTAATAATTGTGTAAATAGCTTCATTGTGAAAGATAGCACGATTATTTTATACTTTCATTTTTGTTCTTGCCCAGTCTTGAAGGTCTTTTTATATCTACTTTACAGATGTCATGGAAAATAATTTTATTTGTATAGATCCGATAATTTTAATATCTCAATCCAAAACAAATTTAGCTTTTGTGAATACAAAAGAATACATATTCGCTAAAAATAAGCATTAACGTTAGTTATCAATGGTATGTCTTCGTAAGTCTGTGAGTTAGCGTCATAAACTTAGTGTAAGGTCATAAAGTTGCGGGGGACTATTATTATAGGAGGATAGTTTCCAGTAAAGAATTCGCGGTAATAAGAGCGGGTATTAACGTTGCCGAATATTGTCGCTGTCAGCCGCGCGCACCCTTCGTCGACCAACAGTATTATTAAAAATAATTTCTCATTTTTATTACCCACCCTTAGTGCTCCGACTATAAATGATTACGTTATAAGGAGGACTCAGGAGCACAGATTAGTTAGATGCATTTAAGACATGTCAATATGATTAATGTACCTAACAAGATTACTACATCATTGATAACAATTTCCTTATTCTTCTGATAAAGTAGATGGGTAAAAAAACAAATAAAATTCGTGATAAATTTAATTTATTGTTTAATAGCTGTTGCTCACGGCTTCGTCCACGTGAAATTAAAAAACATAGTCTATGTTACTGGATGATAACGTAACTTTTTTGATAAAGAATCTTTGAAATCGGCCCAGTAGTTTCAGAGTTATTTCAATACAAACAAAAATACAAATCTATTTTCTTAAAAATATTATACACTAGCTTTCGCCGGCGACGCCGTCCGCGTGAAATTAAAAAATATATATAAATATATAGCAGGTTTTGGGTTATATCAATACACACAAAAATACAAATCTTTCTTCTTTATAATCTTGTTTCTTACTAATACTAATACTAATATTATAAATGCGAAAGTTTAGGTGGATGGATGGATGGATGATTGTTAGCGTTTGTAGCCTAAAGGGCTGAACGGATCTCCATGAAATTTGGCACAGGTTTAGAGCATAGTCTGGAAGAACACATAGGCTACTTTTTATCCCAGGAATAGTTACAGTTCCCGCGCGATTCAATAATTAAGTTTTTTAATATTTACTCGATCATTTTGCAACGGTTCAACATATCTTATTGAATTTTGGCAGAGATATAAAACAAAGTCTGGAGTACACATGGGATAAGCAACATCACCGAGAAATGTCCGGTTCGCGAGGGATACGTAGCTTTTTGTAATTTATATAGTTCGTATGTTTTCTAATACCACGCTGACAAAGTCGCGGGCAACAGCTCGTATTAGTATAAAGGAGAGAGCGGGCCGGTGGAACAGTTGTTAACTGGACTGGACCAGACCAAAATATAGTCGCCCAGGTTCGATATCCGTCCTGTACCAATGTGTTTTTCAATTATCGAATATTGTGTACCGTTGTTTCATACATTTATCCGACGTGCTTACGGTGAAAGAAAACATCGTGATGCAACCTGCTCATATTCAAATATATGTCAGTTTAGTAACCTTAACTTAGGGTAGACTCCGAGCCCCTCAGTGAGAATTAATTCGTTTTCACGTATAATAATTTAGTAAAGTAGCAAATTGAAAAAAAAAGTTTTAATAAAAGGTTAAACATTTCTATCAATACTATCAGCCCATTAATAGACTCCAAATAAATGGAATCCAATTTCTTTAAATGAAATAATCATTAAAGACATTAGTTACATAAAATATCTGTAAAAACACTTAACTTAAATACAATTTTGGATTAAACACACGTCAACCCTTTAGTGTGTCCGTAGCGCCCCGCGGCGGATTTTTCAAATCAAGGTTATTGGAACATTATGCGTAAGCTTGCAAATGCGATCTTGGCTAATAAATACTAAAGTACTAACTTATACCGAAAACATAATATTTTTGACGAGCTGTCGCCAGCAAACTTTATTAACGCGGAATTTTAAAAAAAATGGCCACCTACTACAACATTTCCTCGTGTATCCGCTATCATCTAAGCTATCACCTCTTCAAAGTCCCGTCAAAATCGGTACAGCCGTTCCGGAGATAGCGGTCAGCCGCCATATTGACCGCGCGGATTTAAAAAAATCCTATAATAGGCCCCTGCATATCAGGCTGTTTCAGAGTTTACCTAGAACAAACGCGGTTTGCGGACAAACATTTATTAAATTCGCTATCACTAAAGAAAATACATCGTCTTTGAGAAATCTGGATTTTTTTTCTATATTACATACAGGCACTCCGATTTCATCATTTACATTTACAGTTAGTCTCTGTGGAATGCTTAATATCGAAATTGGGATAAACATGATAATATTAAACTGTGACCCATGTTAAAACGTGGCTCACAGTTTAATACGTAAAAATGCTAAGCAAATGCTTATACAGTTTTAAAGAATTTTATACGTGATATAAAAAAAAAGAGTTTAGGACATTGTACGATTTTTATCGCTGTTTCGTGATGGGCGTGTCAGAAGTGTGTCCGCCCAGCGCACCGAAGCGCAAGTCAGAAATTTTCCTCAGTCGCTCTCTGAACGTCGCGCAAAGTGCACTATCGTTTAGTGATCATCCGCGCTCTCGTCTAGTTTTTCCGTGTCGCCCGAACAATCACGTAAGTACAATTCTTGTATTAAATTCACCTTAAAATAATCGTACAACTAACATTTACTTTTTTAAAGACGTAATAATATTTAAAAAAAAAAGGAACTTTTGATTGAAGTAATTAAATGTAATTTAATATGACCGCGATAAATATCTATTTATTCTAATATATTTTATAAGAAATGTTTTTATTTTATTTCCAAAATCCGTATAAATTCGATCATCAGTTATCAATTAATAATTGTGTTAAGGGAGCTACTTTGGGTTATTGAAAATTTACTTAAAGTTTCACCGCAGAATTCCTAATTTTAGAGTTAAGCGTTAATTTAAAAAAAATAGTTGTTGAGAGATGAATATAATTCTTGGCTTATTATTTAATTTATTAGAGATGCGAGAATAGTTAAGTTATAGGGACATAATTACATATTGAAGTTTTAAATAAGATTACTAGCTACCTTAAACCAAACCAACTTAGAATATTCTTCATATATGTTTTTTCTTCACGTAGAAAAACGCATTTCGGTGCGAGAAGTAAAGGTTATATTCTAACTTATATTGCTTAAATTAGATTATTATTTTTTAACTAGCTTAACGTTTGTTTTTTTTTAAACTTTGAAAATGTTAAAAAAATAGCTACGTTGATACATAAATTTTAAAATGTCTTCTTTAATTTCCTTTTATCTATTTTCATTATTGACACGGGAAAAATGCTTTAATTTATTTAAAAAAGTAAAAACCTAGTTATTTTAAAACAGTTTCTCAAAAACATTAATAAAAGTATGTTTTTTTCAAAGTCTGATGTTTTTTAAATAAACCAAATAGCTAAATGATCGATACCCTTAAAAATTTTCCCAAAAAACTATTAGCTATCCCAAGAAAACATTAAGGGATGTGGAAATTTAATAACTTTTTGTTAAAGTATACATTTTATATTTAAACCGGCCGAATTTATTTAAACCAAAAAAAGTTAATAACCACCGCTGGATTTTCACGTAGCTACACTTTTTAATATGGCTATGAATGGATAACATCAAGATATTAAGTAAATTTTCTTACACTTGCAACTAATTTAATCAGCGCAAGACATAAAAATTAACCACATTTAATTTTGTAACAATAAATTGAGGTTTACATTGAATAATTAACAAAAAAAAATTATGCTTTTATACCACTAATACTTTTGGATCACTAATAAGATAATCTTACAAAAGCAATTACTGTCGCAAAGAAATTATCTTTAAGTAGATTGTATTCCTGTTTATGCTTTCTTTTTATAAAACTCTTTTTAAATAATCGACGGATACTTAATTTGAGTTAAATAAAACAAGAAAAAATGCTGAGTATACGACACTAGAATGAATTTCTATGAAATCGGTATAACATTTTAACAATTACTTACAAAATTATTTTCAGGTTGCAAGATGCTAGAACCGAGTTAAAACATGGCAGGGATCGTTTATTTGATTTATCAATAAATGGTAATCGTTTGAACATATTATTGAATCAAATATGCTCTGCGAATTGAAGTTTGAATATTTTCTTTATTTAACCTGTTATTTATTCAAATAGTCTTTATCGTAATACGGATGCTTCGCGAAAAATATTAATCTAAAGAATAATTGCATCTTAAAGAAAGGATTTTATCTTAACCAATAAAAAAATCGGCATAAAATAAAAAAAAAAACATGACCTAAAGTTATATAAGTTTTAATAATATTATACTTTATTAAACTGAATAAAGGAACAATTACTCCTATCATAGATTATAAATAATAATATAATAATGGTTAATTGTTAAAAAATTAAAAAGAGATTGATTTCTAATGCATATTTTCTATATACTTTCTACAGGAAAAATATATCATAGAAATCTTGGGTATTGTACTGGCGTTAACATAACGAAGTGGTACCGTAATGCAAGGGGAAAACCAACCTGAAATAGCAGTTGTGGGAAAAACATGATAATAACATCGGAGAAATTTGTTAAAACACAATAACAACTAATTTTACGACCTTTATTACGTTTTAATTTAATTGAAAATAAACACATATTTATGAAAAAAAAAACATGTTTAATTTTATAGTAAAAAATGTAATCAAAAAATTTCACCATCCAGCAGATTATTCAATAAACATGTAACATCTCGATTAGACACTGTATAATTTCTGTTTGATAGCTTCCTACGGTATTGTAAATCAAGGGTATTTTCCCCAAAGATGCCACGTCTAAACGTTGTTAGACGAATCGCTGCGTTAAGCGACAAAAGCACCGCAAAGATTTCATCGTTTTGTCTGCTCCAAATCTACGGATAAGTGAAACGTATCTTGTATCTTCCAACATACCAATTGTTTTGTGTTTTGTTAGCAAAACAACTTCAATTTTACTGTATTTAAATGTTCGTTTTTATTACCTTATTATTATACGTTCGTAAATCGATTGGTTTATGAAAATACTTAAAGACTCAGGACGTTACAAGAACATCAATAGTTATTTTTATATTAAAAAAATATTTTTAAAGCCATCTAGTGTCCAAACAATTACCTCTAGACATAGTAATTTGGAATCCACAATTTTCCGTTGTACACGAGTTTTCCACATACCTTAAAAATAAGTAACTAATGTTTAGAAATTATTCAATTTCTTTAGAAGACGTACATACTATAACATTTAAATAAAACATCTAGTAGTATCAGAGATGTATAAGACGATAGGCAATGATTCTTATCGCAGCATTTATTGAAAAGAGGGTCGAATTCCTATCGCGCATAAATCAGGCCTCGTTGTAATTCTTTCAACCGCGGCTGGTTTCCTTTTTATTGCCCACTTATTGGGCCTTTTACAAGCTATTTATCCTTACTTACCCCAATTACGTACAATATTAGTATTACATATGATACATGATACTAATATTATAAATGCCAAAGTTTAGATGGATGGATAAATCTTGTCAAAGTTTGTAGTCTAAACGGCTGAACGGATTTCGATCAAATTTGGTATAAGTGGAAAGGATAGTTTGGAAGAATACATAGGCTACTCACTTTTGTTTTTGTAATTCCACGAGGACTAAGCCGCGAGCGAAAGCATGTATAAAGTAAATTGTATCATTAATTTAGTATTAAAAAAAGATACAATACGTGATGGAGTTTAGTTGTCATTTTAATATTGCGTTATTATTACTATGAGTTAGCATTGTCGGAATATTTTCCCAACAAAAAAATGGATAGAATTTTTAACCTCCTACTTTTAGAAGTCGGTTTAAAACTAATTATCAACCGTAAATTATTTTTATCTGTGACTTTTAACATCATAATAATATAACGCGAAAGGAGTTGCGGGCATAAGCTGGTATTTATATCCTTTTTATACAAACTACGACAATAGAAACTGACGAACAATGACAAGAATTAACCATAGTCTTGAAAATTACTCTTGTATTAAAATCTGAAACAGTATACTATAAACAAGACTTCTAAAATAGTTAAAGGCCTCTGTGCGAGTGCCACCATATGTATCACTTCATAACGTTTACTTTAGAGCGTGTATTTATCGCCGGCCCCGGGCGTACTATTCTTTTCCCAATTGTTTAGTTTCGGCGCAACAACAATAGACCGGATAGCCGCCAGTAACGAGTGCCAACTGCTCGCACCCGGAACTCCTTGCAACTGATCCACTTATCATAACATTAAACTCTCTGTTTATTACTTGTTACAACTTACATACTTCTTACTTATGTATTACATTTATCTTTTAACTAAACATCTATGCAGACTCTATATATTTTTTTAAACTGTGACCAAGAATAGTAGTTATCTATATCACTTTATCATTGCGAAAAATATTTATTCCTATCGATGATAAAGACATTTTAATTCCAGATAAGATTTTTTATTCTTTGGACACCTTGTAATCGGCTGTCTCTCAATCGCTCATCCGGTTTATGCACCTCCTAAAATCAAACGTATGTTAGTCACAAAAACATGAGATATTTAGCAGTAATTGTTCACTTAATAGATACATTAAAATCCGTACGTAATGAATAAAGTCATCAACCCTGTCCCTCTAATCAAGCCCGGCACTGATCAAAGAAACACAAGTGAACAGCTCGGCTTCACTACAAAGTAACTTGCACGTATTGGTTGTGCAATGTGGTCGTTGTGTTTGTATTGACGACGATCTAACGTTCTAACACGTCTCCGCACAAAGGAGATGGCTTCTGTTTACTTCCACGATTGATTACGACAACAACGCCATTCGAACCATTATACATTGGACATCACGACTAATTGGAAATTCAAACTAGCTGACGCCGATCAGCAGGCGGCTGAAGCGGACTGCACTGATTGCAGAGAACCCACCGTCAACATTAAGGCACGTGTACACTAGTGTTAATTGAAGATGTTCTACTGTTAGCCTTTACAAAGAACGCCAAGATATCCGTTACGCACTCTTATTTTCTCAATAACTATGTATTATCTGGATGTTTATTTGCCAAAGAAAAAACATGAGAAATACAAAAAAATGTTTACAATATTTAATTAATATTTTCGGTTACCAAAGTGTGGCAATTGGTAGTAAACTTTCGCTCGTAATTTGGTATACTTGAGAATTGTCGATTGTTTGAAAAAACAAACTGATAACGCAATTCTATCCTAAAACAATTTACTAGTTATTCTTGATATTGATAAGTTAAAAATATATTTTTTCTAATTTGTTCTTCACATGAGCATCAAGAATCTATGCGGTTGTAAAGACTTTTTATGCATCGATGAAACAAAACCATATTCTACATTCACCAACTGATTATAGTTGATAGCAGGATAATTGGATCTATTTGACATGCATAATAGTAGAAAATTAATGTTTGTCAAAGTTGCAGTTATTTGCATTCTAAGCTGTACTCGTTAGCTCCGTCTTTCCCCGTCCAAGCGCGGCCACTTGCTTGTTAGTATAAACGCTGGCCACTAGAGGAGTAATACAATTGCTTTCAAAATAAACAATTTTATAAGCATTCTTGTATGTGTGCGGTTTGATCGCTTTCAACAGCCGTAATTCCCAACTATTTGTTTGTTTCTTTTGTAAAACCTGAATGATTACTTTCCACGAAACTATCAATACGGCAGCCGCTTAAAAGTGCTTTATGAGGTCGTTAATTTTTCTTTTTAATAGATTTTTGGAACGAGCATTGTGTTTTAATGTCACGTTGTAACACATACTAGTTATACTCAAGATGATATATTTCTGTAAACTGCAGATTGTACTTTGAGCTCAACAAGTTTTCTTTTTAAAAAACTTTTTAACAGACGTTTAACGACACTCCGTATTTAAATTTGAAAAGTACTGTATGTGTAATTGTCCAATTAAAAAAATATGTTTATCGCTGTGCGTATTTATAATTTAATGAATAGCAATAATCGTGTGAGTTGTTTGTAGAACTCAGTCATGGAGGGTTTCCTTCACCACATGGCGCCTCAGTTCCTGCACCCAGCGCTGCAGAGCTTCGGCTGTGGTGCCTTCAGGCCCATCGGCGCTGCATTTCATCCGTTATACCCGGGCAAGGCGTTTGCAAGACATCTGGGCGAACAGTACGCTCTTGGGCATACCGTCGGACAAGCTCTAAGGGTATAAGACACATAATATATAGGATAATACATAATGAAATTATCTTTTATGTTGTTAGGCTTTAAGTTAGTAGAGTAAGTTTGGGTAAACCACATTAAATGATTTCTAATATTTTTTTATCTATTCTAAAGCTTAAAATCATGTACTAAGGTACGGTTTGCGATACCAAAATCAAAGGATTAAAAATCTGAACTGGGTAGGAAGTTAAGTTTATGACAATGTTTATGTATGTATATTAGAGTGTTCGCGACGAGACTGGCACTCCGCCGCTGTACCGACACAGCTACGTAGCGCGCGACGATACGAGCTCCCCCGGCTCGGCCGCCTCCGCCTCCCCGCGCCCTTCGAAGGATGACGAGCCCCCAGCCAGTGCCCCATGCACTGACTCACACGACTTCTTTTCCCGTATGTCATAGTTTTTTATGAACATTTACAATTCTACGTACTATATCAATACTTATAGTAAGACATCGAGGTCTAGTGTGACCGATTTAGTCTAAGGTAGCATTGTGTGTGAACAGCTGACGGTGAGCGTAAGACATCTTGCGGCGTATGCGGCGCACGGCTGGGGCCCGGCGTCGCGCAAGCTCACTTCCTGCAGGAGCTGCAGCACCTGTACAGCCTAAGTGCTCTCCCGAGGGATGCCGCCGTGCCTTCCACCCATTCATTACATCACCAGGATGAAGATGCTCGCTGGGAGGTAGGAATTACGCATTCTTCAGAACAATAAAAAAATTATAGCTCCTCTAAGTTCAACTAAAATCGGGTACATGTTCCATTGTAGTAGATTATTCGAAAACCTTCACCTTTTTGTTGTTAATATTTGGTGTTTAGACATATCAGCGTATCCGCGCGAACCGTCAGCGTCGTCTAAAGTTGCGCACACGCAAGCGTCACCACACGGTGGAGAGCATGCTCGGCTATGAGCTGGAAGAGGAGCGGCGTGAGGAGCGGCCGCGGGAGCCGCGTTACGACGCTGAGGATGAGCCGGTAGACGTCGAGGGTGACTCCCTCGGCTGGCCAGAAGCCGCCATCAGTGTCGACGGTAATTCCTAACATATACATTGAAAGTAATTTTTCAGCAAATAGGTATATCCTAGGACCCATTGAATGACTTTAAACTATTATTGCCGGCTGTTACGTTTTTCCTTTTTTTTACTTTCAATTGTAATGTATAATGTCATTGTTCTTAGATAAAGATCAGCGAAACGATGGAGAAAAGCTACACATGAGCTATACCGAGGACTTGGAGATATCGAGCACCAACGATGCGATGCAATCGCCTGAACGCGTGAGGTATTTTCTATATACAAACCTACAATCTAGTTTTTTCCCTAATTACGTTTTCTTAATAAAATGTGCACCTGGTCGTGTACGAAAGCGTATGCTGCCATTAAAATGTCTTCTTGTCCAAATAAAATTATACAAATTAGTTATTTAGATCTATATTGTTTAGTACTAGAAATAATGCTGCAGGTAAAACGAGTTTTAACATATTTGATAATTCAAGAGGGAGTTATTTTTTTATTTTGAGCACATCGTTTGAATAGGATTGAGACTCCAAAGCCGCTACCGCTGGAGTGCAGCAAGGGCGAGCCAGCTGAGCGGCCGGCGGAAGTGTCGACATCGGAGTGGGCGCCGGCAGACTGGCCTGCCTTGCAGGATCCGTACCTCCACGCCAGGCACAAGCCCGAAGGAGAGAATCTACCCTCTTCCACAGACACCCGGAACTAAACACAACACTATCAAAAATAACAACTCACCAACAAGATATACCAACTTAACAAAACGAAAAAACATTCAATATCCACTCATCATTAGATAACAACTCACCAACTCGAAATACCAACTCAAAAACATCGGATTAGTTAGATCGGAGTTATGGTGGGTTTCCCTGCTACGTTTAACTAATCATTAGTGTTTTTGGTTCGATAAATTCATGAAATGCATTTCCGAACTTCGGTAGCTTGAGTTTTACTCCGATGAAACTAATAATAATCGCTAGGTAATGGCAAAATAAGTGGAAACTTCAGAAACCTAGCATTAGTATGCACCTGTTCCAAATCAAAAATCAACAAGTTAAATCTTTCATAGTTTAATATTTCCCATGAAATATTGATAAAAAAATTTAGATCCACCATCGTTTTGAAGTCGGTTGAAAACAAATACCCATGTACATAATTTACGTAGTAAAATAATCAACATAAAATTTTTAAATTAACTACTAACCCTTAAGATTTTAATGTTTATAGAAAGATAGCTTTTTATTGATATTTCATAGCAGTCTACCTTCTATCTGTAAAAAGCTTATTCCTATTTACATATATTCGCAAATATGAATTACAAAAACAAGATATTGCGTTATAAGATGTTGCTTATAGCTTACTAGTAAGATGATTCTGATGAAAATCTTGACAGAAACTATAAAATGTAATGAATGTAAAAAAGTTAATTAATTGTATTATTTTAATGTATGTAAATGATATGTTGAATTTTTCATGTTATCCGAATGAGTTTCCACTGTCGAAATACCTGTATAAATATGTCTTTCTTATTTTAGAAAAAAACTACAATTGTATGTTACTGTAAGGGTCATTCGACGGTAGGAATTAACAAATACAAACATCGTTCTGTAAATTAATTAAAAGCAACATTTTCATCATCTTAATATTTTGATTGATTGTTTAAACAAATTTTGTCTTACAATTTTCAGCTTTCAATAAAGTTAGGACGTTACCTTTCTATGATCAAAACAGATTTTTTAACATTTGACTTCGAGTCTTAACTTTAGTGATGTACATATTATCTTTAGAATGGCCTTATTATTTTGTTTTATTTGCAACTTATAGATGTTTGTATTATCGTTGTGTCTTATTGTTTTAGATTTTAAATGTGTAAAACACAAAAATACAACGTCTATTTTAACTTATTCGTGCTAAAACTTTAGAAAATAACATTAATCTCTAGTAAATTTTAACTTTTAATAATGATTTTAGACATTAAATGTAATACTTAGGGACCCACAGGATTTTTGCACACAAGTAGGTACAGTCGCGCAATCTCGCGGTGTTTCAATAACGGAAAAACAGCCTTGTTCCTTACAACTCCGCCTCTTCTTACAAATAATCAGGTAGCAATGTTGTGAGTTGTTGTTGAGTTGCGTAAACCACGAGATTAAAATTAAAAACAATTAGCCGTGTACCAATGACTGTTCTTTTTTCGTAGACATTTGAAAGCCTCGGTGTATTATTTATTATTCCGCATCTGCGTCTTAATGTGTACAATACTTTTAAATGGCCTTAGTTTTTGAGGTGTAACACCACCAGATTCCCCGATTGTACACACAACACGATTTTTCCGTGTAGTAGTGTTTTAAACTATTATCGTTTATTTTAAGGTAAATTTTTACATTAACGTAATTTATATCTATTTACTGTTTTCTAAGTATACATTACGTCTATAAGCATTTTGATCCCGTGGGCCCTTAAGAGTAGAATAAATTTATTAGTGTATTTAATAACTCATTATTATTAAAATTATCAATTAGATGTTGTCTTGATGGAATTAAATTATTACTTGAAGTTTAATTTATGATCCCTTACATTATAATTACTTTAGATTTTTGAATTCTCTACTATCGAAAAAGTAAAATAATATAGAAGTACTAATTGAGGGTTAACTAAATTATTGTTCAATTAAAACAAGTACCAATCTGGATTAAGGTTATTTATTTGCAAATTTACTTTTTTTTTCTTATAACCAAAAGGTGTTGTATTGATTAAAATCAGCGTGTAAATTGTCATCATTTCTTCTTAATATTCTTTTATTTTTATTTATGCAAAATAAAACTGTTAATTTTCAATAGAAATCAAAGAGAATAATGTCAGCGCGGCGGCTTGCTACTGAAGGATTGCTGGTCAATAAGATCGTCGCTGTCCTCCGTGTGGCATTTGAAAGTAAGAGCTTTAGACGGGTTAATCCTGGAATATCAACTTTATTATTTATAGTTCTAGGTTGCATTTTGCAAGCCTAACAATGTTTCAATTACCATGATTTGTCAACAGCACACGCCACGCACTAGTCTCGATATAAAAGGGAACCCTTTTACACAACATACATGAACACTTATGATTAAGTTACAATGTATAATATTTGATAGACATGAGTATTCATAGTAAAACTCTAGGTTTTAAGATACCTATTTTAGATTTTCTAAATCAGTTCAGTCTTGTTAGGACACAATAGAATTAACATACAGACAAAAACATTTATTACCTTTCTCCATCAGCCGTGTATCAAAGTTTATAAGACATCGAAAGTTTATATGAATAGAGTATTTTTTCCGATGGTATAAAGTATGCTTACCTCTTCAACGAGGGCCTACGTTTTCGGCAACTGGCGGTCTTCAGAAACTTCCCAACGATGACGTTGTTAGATTCATACAGTCTCAGCAGCTGATCGAATGACATTGATTTGTATTTTGGCAGCGTCACGGTCACTTTCCCGAGCTTCAGCACATTTAACTCTTTTACCTGGACCTTATTAAAGGGCATAAAAATACATAGATGAACGTAAAAGAGAGAGATGTCCCAGGACCACGCCAAAAGACCGTGGTCTCTGCCTACCCCTCGCGGTTACACGCGTGTGAATGCGTTCCATTTCTTACCATGGTTTCCAACTTTACACCACCCGTACAAAATCGAATCATGTCCCTCTTAAAAAAAGTGAGTGCAATGTATTTTTGTACGGATATATTTAAAGTGAGAACCCAAAGTATTTCAGTCTGTGGGTGTATTTGTGTGTATTCTGATTGATCGTTTTAATTCCATCAAATTACCTCATCCTTAACACCCGCGTCGCTGGTGCAGTGACGAAGGCCTGTAACAGTACCACAGTTAAATACAATCTGTTCTATAACATCAGCTTTAGTCTGGAATTGAAATTAAAATAATAGTTTAATAGTTTACTGGTAAACTAGGAATTTTAGCAGTAACATCTCATTCATAATGGAACGCCTCATGTATGTATTTATGCCCTTCGTTTAACATATTCTGCCTGATTAATATGGTTGTAAAGATTAGTTAAAAATTACGTTTATTAATTACCCATATGATGAGCCATTGTAGATGGTATTTCTGATATTGGTTGGTTAACTTTTAAGCCATGCAGGACCTAGGTGAAAATAAAATTACTTTTATATTTGCGCAAATATAAGCATTATAAAGCTTAGATAGGACTTCACCTGTTGAATATTCAAGCCCACATTATGCGATGGCGTTGCCGACTTGGATGACACGAAAGGTATGTGCGCTTTATTTGTGCTGGGTTCGTATGCCTTAGTGCTCCTTTGCTTCGACCGAGACGCCACCGTCGGCAACTCGTAGCGCCGCCGCACCATAAACTTCATCACTTTCCTTATTTTTTTGCTCTGTACAAAATTAAATCAATGATATCCTATGTACATTCTACGATCAAAGTCTTTTAAATAAAATAATCAGTCGATTCTTTCAGTCTTCTTTTTATACTAGCATTTGCCCGCGACTCCGTCCGCGTGAAATTTAAAAATACTTATAAAGGAATGAAAAATAGCTTATGTTACACAGAGATAATTTACCTTCCTAACGGTGAAAGAATTTATAAAATCGGCCGAGTAGTTTTTGAGCATATTCATTACAATCAAACAAACAAACAAAGTTTTCCTCTTTATAATAATAGTATATATTGGTGAGTGCTTTTTAAAATAACTGTATGTACAAGTCTGATCAACGCAACTCTAAACTCCGTGAAAAATCTAGAGTAATTCACCCATTTTAATTACTATTGAGAGACAATCACCCTTTTAGTTGACTCGTCTCCACTTTCAGTAAGACTTTCAGCCACAGGAGCGGGTGCAGTGCCCCGCACGACAGCGTAAGCTGGAAATATTGAATAACTTTTTATCATGTCAAAAATATTAGCAAAATAAACTATTTATGCGAATTGCGATAAAATCACTAAAATGTATGGAAAACTGGGCAAAACAGTTAATTAGTTATACTTTAGTTCCGCAACGCGACCGCGGTAAGGAAAATAAAATAGTAGATCTTTATTACAATTATGTAAGGTTAGCTTTCATCCACAACGCCGTCCATGTGGAATTAAAAGAAATTAAAAGCAAGTAACCTAAATATGTGTTCTACCAAACTATGCTCTACATTTATACCATTATTTTCGAGATCCGTTCAGTCGTTTAGGATACAAGCATCCATCCATCCATGTAAACTTTCGCATTTATAATATTAGTATTGACTTCAAATCCAACTTTTAATGTGCATGTAATAGTAAACTACTAAAGCTACGATTGCTTTAAGAGTGTTACTTGTGACATGTTACTATGAGTCAATAAATTACGGTATATAAAGTATACTTTTTTTATTACCACCGGGACCATGTTTTCTTTGAGATGCAGCATAATTTTCCTGCCAAGAGTCCCCGGAAGACTCGCTGCGATTCATATTGAACAATTCCACTACAGGTCGTTTCGGATTTTCAATCCCATCATCTTTACGTTTCAAAAAAAAAGAACATAGTAGAAGTTAAAGAAACTGATTACTTCAACGTGATTTGTAGACAAATGACGGTCTCATACACCATTCAGCTATGCGTGTTAAAAGTAGAAACTATTATTTAAAATGTCCATATTCCCTTTTGTTGTTTCAATTCGTATAATGTGGTTAATAATAAGCCTTCTTAAAAAAGTGCATACTGTTGGCCGAGTACATAAAAAACTAAAGATTAACAGCCTTACAAGTAATTGAGTATAATCCAAATTTGTACTAATATTTGCTTATACTCAGTTTATTCCTAAGTTAAACTTCATACCGCGTTTATTTGTAAGGTTGTAAGTGTAATAATATTACTGGAATACGTACTAGAACGTCTTCTTGTCTTATAAGTCACGCTATGACGCGATGATTTAGATGCATGGTCTGCAATAGAAATTATCCAAATATATTTTTCATTGATAAATAAAATTATTTTATACAACTCGACCGAAGAGAAACTGCAAAATCTTACTGTTACTAATAGTTCACGTGCAAAAGTTTAGATGGATGGATGTTTCTTAGAGTCTTTAACTTAAACTGCTTAACGGATTTCCATGATATTTGGCATAGGTGTAGAGGATAGTCTGGAAGAACTCATAGGCTACTTTTGATACCAGATAGTAACGGTTTCCGTGGAATACATATTTTTTTTGTTTACTCAATAATTCTGCAATAGTTCAACATATCGTATTGAAATTCGGCACAAAAACAAAACAACGTCTGGAATAACACACGGGATACGGTTCATCCCCGAAAAATGTCAATTTGCTGAGGGATACGTAGTATTGTTTTATAGTTCGCATGTTTTTTAATACTTCGCGAACGTATCGCGGTCAACAACTAATGTACTAATATATTTACTTTCTCCGTCGCCTCTAACGCCATTTGCTTCGTGTAGTGGTGGCCTGTTAGATAAAGAGTTATCAGTATTACACGAATAATAGTATTTAAAAATGTAATTAAGCCAATTCAAATGGAAAGTACGATGTCAGATTGAAACTAATACAATAGAGCTGCTTAGCATAAAGATATTCAAATTTCTATATAAACAATGAAAAGGTTATTAAAAACTTGAAGTTTAAGTAGACTGTGCTTATTATAAAGCATTCCTACTTTCAAGATTCTGTCAAATACTTACATGTTATTGCCCGTTTGAACAAATTCATTGTCCCACTCACAATAGGTAGTTTCTTCCTTACTTTGTCCTTTAATGTAAACGTGAAATGTTATTGTAAGTATGTTTATACATTATAAGCCAAACTTGTATCAGCGAGTAGTTTCAAATATTTTGTTATCTCTTCTCTACGTAGGTGAAGTCGGGTCGGATAATCAGTCATAAATAAATCGGAAACTTACTTTTTGGAGTTTTTTTCTTTATTGTTACATAATCTGCAGTGCCCTCCGACACCTTTCCCATGGAGTTCATTCCAGTTCCACTACGTAAATAAAAGTCTTACTAATTTATTTTTCTAATATTATGAATGTAAATATTGTATGGATGGATAGATGTTCGAGTTTGTAACCCTAACTGCGGAATGGATATTGTTGACATTTGGCAAGGATGTAGAGCAAAGTCTACTAGTACTTTGCTGTTTATCCTCTCCATCGACGGAATCGAGGGTAAAAGATAGTGTTTTAAAAAAGTATTTATACTGTAGATAACAAACAATTAGTAAGAAACATCAAGGTTTCAATTCATGAGTAGTACTTACGCGTTATTGCCAGTTTGTGCAAATTCGTTGTCCCATTCGCAAAACGTTTCTTCCTTACACTGTCCTAGAATTTAAATGATAAAATAAAATTGGAAGTTACTATTAGAGACATTGCTATCACTAGAAACAGGCTGACATTTAGTTACCACGGTAATTGATTTTGAGACAACTACGGGCATGTGTGTGGTACGAAGGTTGACATTGAGAAGACTCATCCCCTACATACTTGTGTTCATTTAATTTGTCCGGTTGTTACTGGTATATATTCGCGTTACGCTAGTAACTGCCACATGCCAGTAAGTAGATTGTAAGCTACTACTCTATTCTACTGGCAAGTGTACCCCTTCCCAAGAAACAAAGAAATGCTTACTTGTACCTTTATAAATGATTTTACGTAAAATACCATTTCAGATAGACGGCGATAGGTAAACAACATTTAAGGAACATAGGCAGACAGTGTATGGCTGCCCTAGGTGAAAAGTAAAGTTTAAAAAACTTACTTTTAGGATTTTTTTTTCTTATAGTTACATAATCTGAGTTGAACTCCGACATCTTTCCTATAGTGTTGAGTCCAGTTGCACTAAACAAACAAAATTATTTTTGGGTATTAAAAAAATATTCTAAGCACAACTTTGGGCAATTTTCTACACCAGGATTATGAGCGAAATCCAAAAAAAGGCAATTAGATATAATAAGACTATTTCTCATCTTGTTTATATTTAACTATATTTCGATTCTCTAGAATAAATGTTATTTTAACAAAATTTGTTTTATTCTTACCTCCTTTTTTTCAGGTTTTTACGTCTTTTCGAATTATTAATTAAATCTGAGAGCTTTTCTTGTAATTCTGTGCATCGGGTTTCCGCAAATTGAAATTTATCTTCATGATTTGTTGCTGGAAAAATTTAATTAATTTAAGGTAAAGATTTTTTTTCTTCAGTGTATATTATAAATAGTTCGGAAAAAGTTAAAGTAGAAAAACGGTAATGCTATTTTCATATTTAATTCTGTGAGATATCTATTAGATTTCTGTGTTTCTTCTATACTGACATTAGAAAGAGGAAAGATTCGATTGTTTGCTTGTATGTTTGCATCGAATAGGTTCTGACACTACTGAACCTATTTGAAAAAATCTTCCAATATTGGGGAACTACACTATCCCAGGATGCCATAGACTAATTTTATTACTAGATTTTTAATTTCGCGCGAACGATGTTGCTTGCAAAACCTAATCATAAGTATATTGCCAAACGGTTATGCAGTTTACAAAAAAATACCTTTAACAAGTAACTTTCTTTCTGAAAGAGTTCCATCCAATAGTACACCAGCTAAGCTACTGGTACTTTTGTGGTGTTTATCTGTTCAAGTCAAACACGTTTTATTTTAAAATTTTGGAACATTACAAAATATTTTATTTAAATATGTAATTAATAAAATCACGATGATATATTTTTCGATTCCACAAACTTGCATCAACAAACACAAGCATTGATGTTTGCAACACATCATTTCCAATACGTATACTACATATACTGAAAAACTAAATTGCAAATTAAGTTACATGCATATAGACAATTAAATCAGCGATATATGCATGTGTTTTGACCCGTTGATCCACCTCCTTATCAAGAAAAAAATCCACTAATGTATTGCCCGTGACACGCATTTTCATGTTTTCCATATTTTATCCACTGAAAACATGTCCTCTATCGTATTTATTAGCCGATAACGCAGGATAGAAATGAACCTTAAATAAAATATTGACCTTTTGTTAACTTTAATCTGTCACTCATTTTAACTTGGAATTTTCTTATTGCACACCTAAAGAACTTCCTACACAATTTAAGTTTGATACTGTTAAAACTAATAATTAAAAGAGGGTGTTAAAAACTGATAAAAACACTAAAAAATTCATCCCGTCAAAATTGTCATAACCTTACCGGCTCGTGAACAAGATAGGATCGTTTTTCTAAAAATCTATAAGGACATTAAAGCCAATTAAAACTAAATTAAATTGTCAAACGATACTTTACCCAATTTTAATGCAGTCCAAGGAGTCTGTATGTGTTATTTGCTTTCTTTGATGAAGATGCGTCGAAAAGTTGTTTGATTTTGCATGGATCTTCTTGTCTAATACAGTAGGACCTCGATAACTCAAACCTCGGTAACTTAAAATCCTCTATAACTTCAAAAAGTAATATGTTCCCTTCCCATCAGAGCCCAAAACCTCTACAACATAGACCCTTGATGACTTAAAATATTTTGTTTCCTTTGGACTTTAACTTCTCAAGGTTCTACTGTATTATAAAATGCGAATGTTTAGATGGATGGAAGAATGTTTTTTGAAGGTGTCTCAAGAATCGCTTAACTGATCTGGATGAAATTTGGCAAAGTCGTTTGTTTCATTTTTTTATTAAGCGGACAAGGTCCCAGGAAAAGGTATATTCTTAAAGACCAATGTCGTAAATAATACTCTTCGGCATAACTGAGCAATCAATATACTGATATAAAAACTTAAAAATTCTTTGCTAAATTATTACATTCGACTTATTTTTTTAACGTGGCTTGTTTTCAACACTTGCAGTGCAGCCTATAGTTTAGTTAACAGTAGCGACACGTTTATAAAGGGTTTAGTCATGCTAAAATGAAAAGAAAAGAACTTAAATATTTGACTTATATTTATTACATTGATATAAAGATAGTCTAATTACAAACCAAATGATGAAGAAATCCAATACATTATAAATTCCAGTACATCAATATACACCTAAATCTAATTACAAACAAAATGAAGAAAAAAAACCGATACAAATTTATAAATTAAATTTTCTAATAAGCAAAATCGTTATATCGCATTGTCATTAAGACGGAATATAAAAATGTAAAGGTTTATTTCTTACCTTTATAATGTAATACATTATCTAAATTATATGGTATGCAAAATTTTATTGTTTAAAATTGTTATTATAATTGTTATTGTGTTGGTACACAACAAAGTATCAGTATAATAATTTATAATATTGAGGGACAACACAAAACATATATCCGGGTATTTCCTTAACAGGGCATTCTAATTGTTAAAAGTAAAATATATATATTTTAAAACTTTAAAAATATCCAAATGCTAGTAGTCTTCTTGAATTTTTAAAAATACTAAAATGACACATTTATTTAAACATTGCTTGTGGCTCAAACCACTATGCAAATTATTTAATTATGTAATATCTTATCCAGATGGTGTTTATATATTTTTTTTAAATTAGAATTTTTGATATTATAAACAATGTTCTAATTCATAAAATGTTAATAATGGAAAATTCTGGGTTAATTAAAGACTGATAGAATTAACTTAGAATATGCTAAATAATTTAGGGATTATGCTAAAATATTTAGCATTAAATTTGCAGTAATTGTAGGCTTTATTCATTTTATATATTTCATGCGTCGAAATAACATTATTTAAGAACTAATATGTTTGGATTTCGAAGTAGTTAACACTTACTTTTTTTCTGCAATTTTAGTATCAAATGATTTGACATGAATAAAATCTGCTTAAAACAACAAAAAACTGTCAATTAATCAGACAATAAATTGTAATTAAAAATCCGGTCTTGAGATTTAAAACTTAATTACAGTAGAATAAAAATTATCAAATTTAAATATAAACACTACTTTAGTGTTATTATACAATGACATACAGGGTAAAGTATGCAAGGAAATCCTTGTTCAAATGTGGTATTCCAAAAGGTAGAGGTACCATATATATTTTAAAACAAAACAAATCTTTAAAGATGCAGTCAGGTTTGAATCTTCCTTTTGTTCCATTTTAAAACTTATACCTCGTACATATGTGTTAAAGTCAAATAATAAACCATATTAATAATAATAAACACAATCTAGGGATCAATTGTAGAATAAAGTAACTTGCAATTAAAATAATTCAGAACAATTTAGACTGCAAAAAAATGATATTCAAATTACAAAAATTTTGACCGTTTAAGGGATTTTCTGTGGATAATATTCTCATTTACAAAATGGGATTTCAATAACACAGAATATTCAGGATAAACTTTAGATTTTAAGGTAATTATTTCGTGTACATAATAAAATGTGAGAACATTGAAACACCACTAATTGTTCCCTAGACATTGTTTATTTCTTAAATATCATTTAATTCATCAAATCGTTAAAACAAATAGAATTATAAAAATTACCCAAGTAATATTGAATATTAAATATATTATAAGAATACAATTAAAAGAATATCTATAGCTATAGTTCCACCCAGCAAAAATGTGTCCGAAATTAAAATAAAACAGGACCTAGCCAGTAACTAAACATTAGCGACAATTTTCTTACTGTTTACGATGAATATACCTTCATCTCAATACTTATCATAACATCTCAAGCTTCATCAATGTGCTTAGCAAAAATGTGCATCATTTCACCGAATCAAGCAACTACAGATATTTGAACATTCCATGTCATGGCTAATGCTAGTTTCACACGAAGGCAGAATTGTATTGAATAGCCATAGATGGTGTAATACTCCTATTATTTGAATGTACACTTATTAAATCAGTGCTATTTAGTCTTAATATTGTTAAACACGGTATCGCAACTGCTCTGAACTGCTGTTCTGCCCTCGTGTGAATATTTCATGGAACTATCAGTGTTTAATGACAACACAGGTGTTAGATAATAAAAAGCACTCACGCTATTGGCCTGGCCTACATCATATTTCCTCAGCGCTGGCATAGGATTTTTATATATGTTTAGTGCGTAATTGCTCATCAAATATAAGGCCCAATAAGATAATGTTATGAGCTGTTAATAGCAGCTGTAATATTCAATATTTTTAGATATGGCATAATATTTAATAATTGTTATTAGATTATAAAAATATGCTGAATATTACAGTGGATAGCTTATAAATATTTGATAGCTTTGAGGGTTTTAACACATGTTAATTAACCGCACAAATTACAGAATCCTGCATCCCTTTTTCTTTGGTGGTTCCGGAGGCTCCAATGCAGCAAGAATAGCTTCATCGAATACATTTTTCAATCCTTTCTGAAAACGAAAATTTAACACTAATTAATTCCTATGTTGTTTTATATTGCTTTGTAAATTTAACATTCATAGTTATTGTGCACTTATTTTTATTAGGCTGGGGTTTGTAAAGATAACAATGTTAAAGTACTGTTTAGTAAACAAGCAAAACATCTTTATTGCCTTTTAGAAAATCCCATCTTATGAGGATTACACTGGTTAAATATTTTAAACACAAACCTGAGTCAGTGCTGAACACTCCACATATTTGACAGCCTTGAGTTCTTTAGCGAGTTTCTCTCCTTGTTCAAGGGACACTGGTTTCTGTTTGATCTTAGCAAGTTTCTCCATAGTAGCGGGATCATCACGTAAATCTATCTGAGTCCCAACCAGGAGGAATGGTGTCTTTTGCTGATGATGAGTAATTTCTGGCACCCACTGAAAACAATTTATAAAATACACTAAAGACGTCGGCGTGAAATTAAAAAATGTAGTCTATGCCACTCAGATAAATTTCCTTTCTAACAGTGAAAAATATTTAAAAAGCCGCCCTGTCATTTTTTAGTTATTTCAAAACATACAAAAATACAAATCTATCATCTATAATATTAGTATAGAATAAAGTATTTCAAAGTTGATTCTGTTACCTTTTCCTTCACATTTTCAAAGGAGCTCGGGCTCACCACACTGAAGCAAACGAGGAAAACATCTGTTTGAGGATAACTCAAGGGACGTAGTCTATCATAATCTTCCTGACCTACGAAAGATTTACATTGCAACATTAATTACACTACCAAAATAACAATATATACAATACATACATTAGTCATAATTAATAAAAACTTCAATCATAAGTGAAATGTGTACCTGCAGTGTCAAAGAGTCCCAAAGTGTATGGTTCCCCACCAATCATGACAGTTACAGCATAATTATCAAAGACTGTTGGCACATATTCCGATGGGAACTTGTTGGTTGTATAACTGATCAGAAGACATGTTTTACCAACCGCCCCATCACCAACTACTACACATTTAATAGTCTGCATATTGAAGACTTTGGTAATAAGTGATAATTATGTCAATATTTTTTTTACAGTTATACTCCTGTCATAGCCTCTCAATGGAGACAAGTGCCTGAAACAATGCAAAATAATACTTTAAGTACTTTGATAATTTGTTTCATAATGCAATTCTAGAAACAGATGAATCATTAAACATAATTAGCACAGCACCTTTGTATTTTTAAAGACACAAATTTTAATACCTTTATAAAAATTTAAATAATGTAACATACTATCATGAAAGTACTATTGCCCTGGATTTATATATAGCTGTTGCTAGCGACTTCGTCAGCGTGAAAATAAAAAACAATAAAGGATGTAGCCTATACTTTATGTTACTCACAGGTAAACTACATAAATACATTTTAGTTGTCATGTATTTTTGTATATATTGAAATAACTCAAAAACTGCTGGGCCGATTTGAAAAAAAACTTTCACTATTACAAAGGTTGTTTACCTGTGAGTAACATAAAGTATAGGCATCCTTTATTATTTTTTAATTTCACTTTGTTTCAAATAAAAACTTTATTCTTGTAGTCAAATTAAAATCAACATTAGCAGGCATTATACACTACAGCCATAAACATTATATACTAAAGTCCACAAACACTGTTTTAAAATATTAAAAATGCGAAAGTTTAGATGGATGGATATTTGTTAGAGTTTGTAGCCTAAAATGCTGACCAGATCTTGATGAAATTTGGCATAGATGAAGACATAAACTAGCAATCCAGTAATCTATTATAATCTAGTCTATCTAGTAATTATTTTTGTTTGTTTAAATTTTAAAATTAAATTAAACTTAGGTATGAAATTCCTTCTCTTCAATTCATGTGTTGTGATGATTTTAACAATGGGTACCTCTATTCTTAACAATTTATTGTAAATATGTCTTTGTTTATTTCAATTTTAGTTATCACATTTGTATTTTATTAATGAAATATATATGCATGGGCACTTGTAATTAGGGCTGTAACGGAGGCCATTTTATTGGATGCGGAGGAAAAGGTCATCACCTCTGATTCTGCACTCTACCTCTGCTTAACGGAAGCGGATGTCAATAATAAAATATTAATTGCGATTTATTTAAGAAATAAAAACTAAAACTGTGTTAATTCAAAATACAGATTGGTACATAACTACAGTACAGTTTATTATGCAAATTTAATGTTTGACAATTATAGTTAGTTGACATATCACGTGCGCGCGGGATGCATAAACTATACCTAATCGCCCCACTCACGTTAAAGACGTAAATTAACCTCCGTTATAACTTCGCATAAGAAATGACGGAAACAGAGTTATCATTTCATGCGGAAGTTCCGCACTTGCGGATGCGAAATCGGGGTTCTGTTATAACCCCAGTTTTAAGTAAAAGAATTCTGTGGTAAGACTTCTATATCTCAAATAAGTATTATGGAAATTTGAGAAATCCTCAAATAAATTACCACATGTTAAAAATGTCAGTAATTGCTGGCATATATCTAGTGTGCATAGTTTTATTTTCTATACTGTTTCGATTTTTTAAATAAACATAGATTTAGGCTATGAACAATAGCCAATATTTTTGATTGCAACTAATAAAAACAAGCAAGCACCACTATTGTACTAAATAAACCAGCCGCTGTAATGCTTACTAATATTCGCAATGCCAAAATAACACGATCGACAATGTAAAATAAAATGTAAACAAAAAATCACACTGAATTTTTAAAATGCAAATATAGTATTGTGTTAGTTTTAGTAAAATGAGGCTTGATAATAACACATATCGCTTCAAAATTATTAATTTACATGGAGTCATTAACGAGACTAGCTAGTCATCGCCATGCCTCCTTGTCGGATGCCATCATAACTGTTCCGCACCGCATTCCAAAGTACAAATACATTTACATCTCATAAATAAAGGAGTTCAATACATGCAGATGTTAAAAATAACTTTACATATCACTGTATTGTTAACGAATCCATGTAAAAATCAAAGGAAAGAAGCATTTCTTTACATAATCACGTCACAATATGATTTGACGTCCATTTTGTAAAGATAGAACACCATCTATGTCTTACTGTTTAAAAGTCGACAAATCCTATGTTATTCAAATCTTTTCTTACCTTTATTCGAAATCTTCAGTGCAATCAACAATTACTGCCCGGCCTTGGAAATACTGTAGATATTAAAACTTACAAACTGCGCCAAGCTAAATCTGCCTGGGAACTTGCCGACTCAATAACTCAATACGTTTTTCGATGTTGCGCTCCTAGCGCCAACGCACTGTAACCACACCTTTTATAATTATGCACTGGTCTATGTTAACAGATAGGTCATTGCTTAATAACGACAGCGTCAGTTTCTTTCCGAATTAAATGCGTCTGTTGATGTTACTGACAAATAATTCTACCTCGATTATTAGTTCGGATTCTTACCACCACCTTTAACCACAACGATCAGCGCCAAAATGGCGACATTCAAATAGGCACAAAATGCCACGTCTTATAGCATATCCATTAACAGACGACAATGTAATTGCAAGAACGAACAAAGAGTAGCAATGTCAGATAAATCAAAGACTATATAATGTGCGCTTGACATAATGTTGCCAACATACAATTTGAAAAATCTCAAATACCTTTATTTTGTTATTTATTGTAACAAAAACTAAAACATATTGTTATCTCAACACAGAGATGACAAAATTTTTAACAAAGTTCGTACTGTTTCAGAGAAATCGCGAACGCACTTTGCAGTGATTGAAAATAATAATAAATGGATGTAGATACAACTTTAATCATTCTCTAACTTGAATTTCAACTTCCTCTCAGAAGGAGACGCTGGGGAACTCAATTCATAGGATAAAAGTTATGATGAACATTTTTGTAACTATACTTAAGACCAGAGATGCTAGAATAAAACAAAAATATATGTATTTAATCATTTTATTAAAAAAAAATATTTATCACATACAACATGTTTTGTTTTCTTTTAACTTTAAGGCAGTATCAAGACCACACATTAACTTGTACATTGAAATAAAATTGGGTAAAAGCCGTCGAATCAATGACATATCCTTGTATATGGTGGTACAATGCCCTTAAAGTCAGGGGAATTAAAAAAGAACATGTGTAGAACCATAACATATTAAATTCAAGTAAATATTGCTTTTTAAGAGGTGTTTCAATTAGTTAAAATATTTAGTCTAACACACTCACTTAATTTACTTATTGTTAGATTATTGATATTAGTTACACAAATACCAATGCCTCGTCCTACTTAATAAAAAGGTTATTAAATTAAATAAGTCAAAGAAACAATGTGTGTCAATTATATTTAATTACACTTGTGATGATAAAATTTGAATTAGTCTAAATATATGAATTACTTTTTACGTCACAAGCATTCTGCATTACAATAATTGTATACATTTAAATGATTTATTCTCAATTGTTTAATAAGCTTCTCAGAACTCAGAAACTCACATATATTTTTAGGCACGTGATTAAAAAAAAAACAAAATTATTTTAACATTTATGTCTAGCATGTCATCTGTTTATAATTAAGAAGTAACCGTGTTTTTTATTGTAGAAACACTTGTACAAAACCATATTGTCTCTGTTTTTCAAAGAGAATGAAACATCTCATTCTCTCGATTATTTTGACAATATATTTGCACGATTGTTTCGGCAGTGTTTTTGCTAAACATATGAACACTTCAATGTTACTTTATTGCCAAAGCTACATAATATAATATTAATATTGTACATTCAAAATATTTTCATATCCACTACAATTAATAACAATAAACATTTACTAGTAACCAACTCCATTTGACTAACATATATAATATAGTATATGTTTACATTACATTTCACAACATGCCAAAAATTCCGTTTGTAGAAAACAGAATATTTGCTATTATCATATTACTCATATTTATTGCTCATGGCTCTTACATTTAAAAACAATGCACACAAACAGTTAAAAAGTCATATAAAAGCTTAAAATCTTATGTCACAACATTAAAACATTTTTCATTAACAGCAAATTTCAATTCAGCATATACTGCAATATAATCTATTATTAATAAATTTAATAAAAACATTATTACTTGTGTTATTTTGTTGTTTTTGTGTTGACTATAATGTCATTTAAAAGCGATTCCCATTTAATAATTAATTATGTATAAAATTTAAAACTAACATTTAAAATCAGTTTAATTCACATAACAAATTATTATTTAGTCATCCAACATAGGATACAATAAATGTCAATAAAATTTTACAAAAATATCCTAATTCTTCTAAAAAATCTTATTGATATGATTAGCTAAAACCATTTTAATACAATGCCATTCTCATATATATTTAATTATATAAAAATTACTTTATTAAAACACTTTGTAATGTAGCATAAAAACCATGCCAACAAATATCACAAAATTCTAATTATGTTAATATTGTGTGTGTGTGTTATGTGATGTGATTCTAAAATAACCAATGTTAAGTAGAAGGGAGGCCTAAAGTCTTTCTTACGAGACGTTCCGCTATTTTGTTGAACTGTTTACGATCTTCTCTCCACATTTTAGCCGCATCCACATTTGCACCACTCTCATCATTTGGCTCTGGAAACCATTGGTTAAGTCTATCAAAAATGCAAAATTAAAGAAATATTACAAAATACAATTTGATGACATATATAATTATTCGCACGCAACTGCGTCCACGTGAAATTGAAAAATGTAGGCAGCCTATGTGATTCTAGACTATTATATATTCTAGACTATGCTCTACATGTTTTGTTCTTGTTTTATTTCAATAATTAAAAAAAAACATACATCCATCTAAACTTTAGTATTTATAATAGTAAGAATATATCAAAGTGTTTTTAGCTGTAAATACATTACCAAAATCATTCATATCTTACCAGCTAACATGCTAACAACTGAAAGAAGGATTTTTTCAACACTCTGCACAGGCGACCATCTCTCGGCACTGCTTTCATAACCCATTGGATCATCACCCGGAGCATGTAATATGGAAATGCAAACTCTACCATCAGCATAAACTAAAAATCAAATAAAACATTATCCTTTTCTCCCTAACTATATATAAACTTAATTTTTAAATATCCTTTTTATAACACCATGTAGCAGTTAACTAATGGCGTTTCATCAGATTTAAATTATTTTACTAGTAAGTAATTATTTTCGAGATTTAAATTAGCAGAATGATAATGAATGACTTAATATACGATGAACTAAATCTGAATGTAACTTCTTATTTCTGTTGAGAAAATATAACCTTGCTATACCTGAAAAAGAATATATTTTAAAGCAAAACTGTCATTTCTTATTCAGTAGGAATCAAAATATAATAAAAATTAACTTTTGACAAAGTTACAGTGTTACAATACAACATTTTAAAAAGATTGTTTTGTAATTTATTTTAATAACATTATTTTAAAAAATCGTTAATTGTTAAATGAAAGGTTTTAATATCCATGAACCAAGAAGTAAATTTAAAAAGGTTTTGTTTTGAGTTTATAACACTAAAAGACAAAACATAATTTCATAGATTTCGATATGTAAGACAAAACATATTTACATGCAACATTTAAAACTTTTTCCACAAGCTTATTTCATTGTTATTATTATAATAAATAATAACTGTTGTGAAACCTTTATAAATAGATATTGTTATCTTTGATTTTTATATATGTACTTTGTCATACAAATGTTACAACACTGAAAACTCTTTTAATAGAAAACATAATTTTATTATAAATTGTAGGCACTCACTGTTAGGATGAAACATTTCACATATAAACTGCATTTTTGGCGGACTTAATGGATAATCAGGAGGAAATATTAACTTTGCAGGGAAAATTCCCCCTTCAAAACAAGTCCCTTCTGGCCCCCTATAAAACAAAGGAGAACAATTATATTTTTTATTTTATTTACTGTTAATTTCAAATATCTTATTTTATTAATAAATAAAACAAAACAATAACCACTGATAATATTGCATAAACAAAATGAAGCATCAGAAAGGCAATATATTTTCTGTTTATCTTATCTTCTCATGATTTAATAAACTATCAACACAGCGCCATCTTTTACTATGTTTTTAAAACATCATCAATTCTAATACCAAGGTTCCAGAAATTACACAAAATCTTTACTCTTTTCTCATAGTAATATTAGAGATTGGTCGAGCTCTCCTCCGAGTGCATGAGGCAACTTATTTTCAGCATAAAAATAAGCTTTATTCCTTTGGATTAGAGGTTAAACTACTTATGATTTTATTTAAATTAAAGGTAATTTATTAAGATTTATTAATAATTTTCTGTTGATATTTAAATTTGTTGAATTTTGTTAGTTCAGCGCACAAGAGCATGTATAGAGAAACAGGCACTGATTGTAAATTAAGAAAATGACCTTTGTGGTTACTAATGATTAGATTACTTCAATAATAATTTAACTTACGTTATCAAGGCCTCCCACTCAAAAAAGTTTTCTTCATTTATTGGACCAGCAATAATACCTTCTGGAGGATTCAGAGTCAATTCTGAAAAAAACAACAAATATTTAACAAAACCATTTTGATAAAATAATTATGGTAAAGAAATAAATGAATAACATAGTCAATGACAAATACACGTTAGAGTGATTTTACAAACTTTTAATGTAGTGTTTATTGGGATTTACACATCTCTATTACCAAAATGCATGTTACATAAGAGATTCTGGACGTATGTAATAGACCTGCGCTATTTTTACTTAACGCTAATAAATATATATCATATGTTAATAATGTCTGTTGATTGCGAAAAAAGTTTGATACAAGTTTAGAAAGAGCGGCTAAACATGGGACGTGGAAGTCAACTTCGCTTTTTATTGAGTTAAGATAGATTACTTTCCTTCTTATTATCTTTTGTGCCAATTATAATAAAATATAAGGTTCCCATACTTACGTTTATATTCAGCCATAAGACGTCGCAAAGCAGATCCTGCCATGGTTAATTATTATTTGGTTAAATATTCACAGGAAAATGTTAATTATTTTGAATGAATATATATAAATTTATACATTGAACAATTTTTTATAAGTTGCTAATTTTATCATTTTCCTGACAAATTATTGTCATGTAATAAAAAAAAATATATGTGGTAGTTTCTCGTTTGCTGGTCCAATTCGGATGACACGACTCTTGACCAGTGTTGCCAAGTGACAATATAATATGACGTTCCATACGTGTCATGTCGTCCCATGACGTAACAATTAATATTTTGAATAAAAGTTATTTGGTGAAAATATTTTTTATTGTATAATTTAGAAAAAATACAAACATATTGTCATGCATATTTTTAAACTTTAAATATAAATGAAATAATTACCACATAAAATTCTTATATTTTGCCAAGAAATTGGAATAACGAACTCTCGACAGATGCGTGAAATATATAAGAAAAAAATGTATCTCTGAATAAAAATATTGTCTATTATTCTTATAATTATCGATTTTGTATTTACAAAAAAATTAAATACATTAAACGGTAAATAACACATTTAATTGTAATTTTACGCATTGCGAACGTAGAGGTTAGTATTATTTATTTCCTATAGCGTACTTGTTAAATAAAATTGCTTAAATAAAAACGTTGTTTTAAAGAATTTTATGCTAAGTGCATCGAAAATTCTGAAATTTAGTAATCTATGTATGGTATGAGAATATACTATCACGTAGAATTTACTATTTTATATTATGAATCGCTATAATAATATGTACTTTGCGCAAACGTTACAAATTACAATTAAATGATCGTTTGCATCGATTTCGTATTAGAGATATTTCTATCAGTTATATTGTTTATGTTTAACTTTTCTTTATAACCTTAAGTTAAAACATAAACAGAAAAAAAGAGAAATGTAGCGAAATCATGACGTGCGATATAATAGTGAAATTTTATATAGATAAAGACGTAAAAAAGTATAAACGGGCTGAAAAGAACAAAGTGAGAGTATATCACGAACATTAATGAGAACGTTTTCGTAACGTCATCGACAAAAAATGTATGAGGTTTGTGCAGCGCTCCTACCGGCGTAAAGTAAACCATCAATTCTTGTACAAATTTTTCAGCAGAAGATACATCAACTTTAACCCTTTCGATTGCACACGCACAATCTTGAAGAAATAAATACTTTCCCAATTATGTGGAAAACAAATATGTTGAATAGTTTGGATTTGACAGAGGAAAATTATCCTAATATTATTTCCGGCTTTCCTAATTTGACTTCAGTGGTGAGAGAAACTTGTATATTTCAATGTAAAAAAAAGATTACTATTTTAAATAATAAATTAATAAATCGCAACTACCTTCGATATTTAAACATAGAAAATGTGTTGCTGAGTAAAACTATTGATCACGATATAAAATTGTAAAAATAATCGAAAAGGATATACGAATTTTAAAGAATACATGGTTATTGTACAATTAATGTCATAATATTAATAAGTTTTGTTTATTTTATATAGAAAGAAGAAACTCCACGTTACAATTGTAGTTTTTGCACCAAGACGTTCTGCAATGAGACGGCTATGCGAAATCATGAGAATTTCGATCATCTACCACGATCTTTAAATGATGACGCTGAACAAGCCATTTCTCCTGCACAAATAAATGACCAGGTAATGTTTGTTCCAATTTAGTAGTTTAGGTAAACTAGGATAACTGACTTTACGTGTCTAGATGTAAGCCGATAGACCTATATATAGCTATCGCCACTAAACAATTAAAGTTATGCTTAATTTCAACCTAAATTAACTTAATAATTATGTTACGTTATAATACTTAACCATAGTAGTTCAAGATGAAAATGACCTCAAAATAATTATAATTTGCTCGTCACATTCTATTGCTTCTCTCAAAATGTGTAGCCTAATGAAGGCAATATTATGGTGTATAATATAATAATTTAGGGTGTCGAAGGACTACGCGGATTTCAATTCGTGCCAAGTAATTTTACCGATAACAAGGAAACAACTATCGTCGATGGACACAAGAGGTGTTATTTTAATGAAAATACAAGTTACATATTATTAAAAGTTGAAGGGGACGACATGGATCCAAACGCATTGAAAGGATACCGTCGCCCCGGTATACTAAGACGCACTCAAATTAAACAAGGAAGGCAGACTGTTGATTTAAGGTAAAAAACTTGCAATTTATATGTTAGATGGTAAAGCATCGTGTAACAAAGATATGTTCTAAATCCTCCCTCTGAATCCGGTTTTTAGATTCAGGCGTAACCCTATAGGTTGCTAACGTACTGCGGATTATTTTTTTGACATCGGGCTATCGCTTCATAATTAATAGTCGTAAGAAACATCAATAGGTGCATTTTAATTCATCATCATCATCATCACCAGCTCACTATACGTCCCCACCGAGGGGCTCGGAGCCTACCCTAAGTAAGGGTGACTAGGCCATAGTCAACCACGCTGGCCTAGTGCGAGTTGGTTGACTTCACACATATCTTTGAATTTCTTCGCCGATATGTGCAGGTTGCATCATGATGTTTTCCTTCACCGTAAGAACGTCGGGTAACTTATGTACATATGAAAATTCTAAAAATTGAAAATCACATTGGTACATGGCGGGATTCGAACCCAAGACCTGTAGATTACAAGTCCAGTGCTTAAACCACTGAGCCACCGACGCTCCCAGCATTTTAATTAATCATAATTAATTTGTACCTTGGTAGAAAATTGTCTAAGAAACGACTATATTATTTTTGTTTTTCAGAGGTCCTTTTACTTGCTCAGCAACATTGGCCCTGCGACCAGACCTTCAATGTCAGGAGATGTTCTTCAATTGTTGCGAGTACTCGCTACACTATCGCGAAGAACATACAAAAAGGCGAAAAGCGGCCTTGCGCTGCCAAGTCTGCGAGAAGAGTTTATACAAAGAGTTTGACGAAAAGCCTGCAGGCTTACAAGAAACTCCGCCAATGGCATTTTCATGTCGTATTTGTGGGGAGAATTTTATGTCAAGTTCCGACCAAGAAGAGCATAATCGCATCTTTCATATGAAGATGAAGCCCCATCAGTGTTCTATCTGCGATAAGAGATTTACGCAACAGGGGGGTTTGCAGCAGCATATGCGTATGCACACCGGGATTCGTCCCTACGAGTGTACCTTCTGCCCGAAGGCGTTCACACAGAAAGCTGGCCTCGACCAGCATATCCGTACTCATACGAAAGTGAAACCCTTCAAGTGTGTGATCTGCAGCAAATGTTTCTCGCAATCAGTCCACCTTCGGCAGCATATGCGTACTCACACAAACATTCAGCCTTTCGAGTGCCGAGTGTGCGGTCGCCGTTTCAAACAGAGCAGCCACCTCAAGTTTCATATGCGTTCGCACCTCGATGACGGCGATGTCGTCCTCGACGTGGAAACTTATACACACGCTGTTCTGCCTCAGAGTCAGATGGACTTTTTGAATATCGCCAACTTACAAGAAGTGCAAGATGGCGAAACAAAGTATTACGAAGCAAAGCTGAATGAACCGGGTCCGCTTACAGCCGCGGACATTCACGCTGCGCTAGTCTTACCAAACAACTATTAAATCTGCCATATGTAGTTGGATCTTTACTATGGATATTTCCTTAGTAAACATTAAACTACACTGAGGTGGATCGTTACTTTATTTTTTACTATGAATTAGTTGTAAGGAAAGTTATTGAAAAATATGTGTATGCTGTTGTGCATTCATGTCATCTATAGTGTATTTGATCTACTTATATATGTGTTGTATATTTTTGACATTTTCCATTTTAAATTTCACTGCCAAAGAACCTGCAGATAAAAAATATCGCCATCCCTCTCATACCTTTTCAATAAATAAGAGAAAAAAGTGTTATTGTTCATGTTATATAGCAGTAGAAACTCACAGTTATAATATAAATTGATTTAACTTTGTATTTGTGTTTATGTTTAATAAAAATGGTTTTAAGAAAAATTACAAATATTTCATTAATCTATCTATCTTCTATACAGGTAAGAAAATTGAAGTGGAGTGAAAAAACTTATATAAGTTTGTAGAAAAACTTAGATTAGTTAAAAATATGTTTTATTTTTCCTGGTTTCAAAATTATCCTTACATAATGAAATGTATCAGTGCAGTAGAATTCAGCAGCAGTATTTAGACAAAGGAATGACGGAGTCGTCAAAACACGGACGCGTACGACGTGTGGGCGCGGGGCGGTTACATTTTGGTGATTTGTATATTGTGTTAGAGCCGCGTATGGCGCTCAAGTAAAAACAAAGGGAACCCGCTGATGGCTGCATCCTGGCGATTAAACGTCCCTTTGTCCCGATTCCATCTTTACACTCATGACAATATTATCTATTATTGTCATTGGACAAACCCTATTTATCACCAGTCAGAAATTCATAATTTAGGTCCCATTCCTCGTTCATGTTTGACTGTTAATTGTAAAGATGCATTTCCATTGCCGAAATAGTTATAAAAAAACATGTTCTCCACTTTTTAAACGATCTGCGGAAGCCCAATCTTCACGTCGTTATTTTAAAATGAAGTGTAATGTTTTATGAACAGTCGTATCTAATACAGCTTTTTATCTGTCGAACTATTGGGCTGCCCCTGTATTTCGCACCCAAGCCCAGAATTATCTTTACCCGCCAGACATGTTGTAAAACTCCTAAGTTTTTTGTTAACGTCCATGCCGTGCCAAGACCAACTAGTAAGTTTTTTAACCTCGACCAACGCACATGTGGCCGATGCGCCGAGCATGATTTACATTTTGTTTACATCCGCCGCCCGAGGGTTAAATGGTTACCTATATCGTATAAGGGTTACGTCCAAAAATGGCCAGCAGTACCCCACAGTTTCTTTAAATACTTTTAAACATATTAATGGACATCAAGTAAATAATTCCAGCAATGATTGTCAATATGTGCCGTACGCAAACTGATTACAAGTTCGATCAGTATTCACAATGTTCCTGCATTTTAGCGCGAAATAATCGATAAATTCTATACTAATATTGCAAAGTGGAAAGATTTGTATTTTTGTTTGTAACGAATAAACTGAAAAACTTCTGCACCAATTTTAAAAATTTATAACGGATCTTTGAATAAAAGCTTTTTTTAATTCCTCGCGGTCGGAGTCGCGAAAAAAGCTAGTATAAACCGAGATAAGCTCAATACAACAGATTTTTCAAATTAAGCCTGTAAAACAAGATACTTGTCTATAATGTCCCTCACACAAGTAATGCAACCTAAAAATGCAATCAATTTTTTTTTATCGAAAGAGTACAGTTTGAAATCAACACTAACCCAAACGTAAACGCAATAAATTGTAATTTCATGGCCGATGCGTTGAAAATATTTCATTTAATGTAGGCATTATAACGGATTTTGTTTTTTTAGTATTAAGCGCTCGACAGAATACTAAGCGCGATAATCCAATTCATCTTCCAAGTGTAGCAAATATAATTCATAGTATCATAAATTCTAGTCCAATATGATTTATTCATAAGAATCTGTACAATATATACCTGCGGCAAAAAATGTGTGCAATTTCGTGCAAAATAATAAATTACTGGCAAAGATAATCTTTATTAAATAAAATTGGTCTTTATAAATATTACAAAAACTATGATTCAGTTATATTGAGTATTATTAAGAAATAGTAAACATTTTCGCGTCTTTTGCTCTCTCGCGTGTGGTCGCTTTGTCAGTTTTATTCCTCACGTCGCATAAAGAAATCAATATAATGCAGGTATTCGCTGTTTTAAGGCATAAATAAGCTTCCCACAAAATGTACCCCTACGTTTATTACATTAGTGTAGTATACGAATGATAATTATAGAAAACTGGCCATTAACGCTTTTGTATTTACCCATTTAACTTCGAAAGCTTTTGTACTATGAGCTTTCTTTAAATCTCTAAAAAAGTTGTTTTTAGATACTGAGAACTGTATCTCAATTAAACTTGTCTAGCCTTTCGTGCGGCAAAGAACAAAAAGCGTTTGGACCGTTTCGATGGCCGTAAATGCGTTTAAAGTCGCCGTCGGCACTGCCTATGTTTACGTTGTCCGGTAATGGATCCTGTTCATTGGAATGTAGACGTGCTGATGATATACGTTTATAGCGACGTTTTATATAACACTGTATTGTACGTAGTTCATATTCGCCGAATAATACAATGATAACGAAGGTTGAATTAAATAATTAGGGGACTGCAAAATGAAAAGTTCAATCTAAATTAATAAGAAAAAAATGTATCCAATACCACGAATAGAAGTAAGAAGATAGATTTGAAAATATGAAGAAGTATATAACATTACAATGAAATCTAGATACAATAAACGGCACTATATCTATTGATATAACGGATAACTGTCGAGCCTTCAACACTCCAACTTTCCCCGATGAAATGTTTACGTAGCGAGCTGCGGGCTGCAAATGAAATCGTTGAAATAAATCTAGTTGCCGCTTCCTGAAGTCTGTTTCTTATTAAAACATACGCCTCGCTCACAAAGCAATGAGGAGTAAATGTAGGCACGCACGAGAAGCTGCTACGAGCCGCGAATTGGTGCCAACAGGGTTGCCACATCTGCAATTATGTATATGTTATATAATACTTAATTCGAATACCATTCTTGGCGAATACAGACAAATTGCCCTCACTCCAAATGTAGTTAGAAGAAATTTTACTTATCGATATTTTAATGATACAATTGTTTACTTCTCAAAAATTACAAAATTAATTTATTAAGACATTTCCTAAAAATAGTGAGTCCCTAGACTATATTTTATTTTAATACTAGCTTTTGCCCACGACTCCGTCCGCGTGAAATTAAAAAAAACAAAAGTGAACAGCCTATGTGTTCTCCCAGACTATCCTCTATTACAAATTTCATTGAGATCCGTTCAATCGTTTAGGTTATAAAATCTAACAAACATCCATCCATCCATCTGAACTTTCGCTTTCACAATATCAGTAAGATTTTGTTTTTTAGTAAGATTGAAGCCAACATGGAATGGTAGTTACGGATAAGCTGTTCGCTACAGTAAGTAGACGTTTGTAAATTCAGTAGCCCTAGCGCTGTACGCCTGGTACCCGATGACGGACACTACGCACATGGCCACTTCGTCATAAAATGTGATTTGCGATCTTTCTTGGTTGCCAGCGCATGCATCTTTGTGATTGTAGGTACACACAGTGAAGCAAGGGGTGATCAGATAAGCGACAACTAGATTTCCTTCTATCATCACTATTACCAGCTATATGTATCCTGTCCTATATTTCCGTCTATACTATATAGGATAAAATTCGAAATCGCCACATACAAATTTTGATTTTTTTTGTGCAAATTTAAAAAAAAACATTATTTGCAACGAAAGGAATTTTAATCACTATTAGACATTTCGCGAGGTAAAAAAAAATGTTACCATCATATTTTATAGTAAATTGTGGCCTTTTTGCATATTCGAAATTTATGGACAAGCCAGTAGAGTCAAAATGGCCAATCAACCAGGTTAGATTTTGAACTGGTACTAGGGTAGCATAAACACTTAGGATGTGCATTTTAAATTCAGAGGGTGCGTCGTCTATGCAATTTGTGAATATCGTTCCGCGCAGCGGGGCTGGCGGGGGACGGATCGGGGAAAGTGCGGGGGAGGGAGTTATTGCATTGGCTAGTTCAACCCCAACTCCGGCATTGCAGTCGATGGGAGCGTGTAGAGCAATCGCTCTTCACGTTTCCATTCTGCAAGGTAATAGTAGTGAATTGCATTTTAATGTGTAGATGGTACTTTACAATATGTTGTTTTGAAATTTAAAAGAAATCTCTGTCGATTAAAGGGTTTACAGAGCATAGTTAGTATGATAATTTAAAAAAAAATGTGTTTATTAATCAATTTTGATAATTAATTCATCACTCGAAGATATACAGAAATGAAAAAAAATCTTATTTATGTCAAATAATTAAAAATCACTCGTACGCCATTGCGCACGGAATCATATGCAGAGGTAAAACCGTTTACGGTCCTGCGCATCTTTCGAGATGCAATGAACTCAAAAACTACCCACCCAAAAACTGTTTTTTGAGATACTATCGTTTCGTATTTTTAAATTTCGAACCGGAAGGTCAATAAGACTATTTTATCAATATTAAAGACTGCTGCAGACGTCAGGTCAACTGAACCATAATAAAACTTTTAAATAATTAATAAGGGGGAGGGAGGTGTTACGAGAAGGAAAATAAGGATGTGACAAAATTAAATGTATAAAAGACAGACTGCGTGAAGTGTATTAGAAGCTAGAAAGGACTAAACTAGATTAATGAGATAAAATTGTGAAAAGAAGGAAACCTATTGGGCTGACTCTTAAGTGCAGATAGGAAAATCGAGTGATTAAGTTTCGAATATACCAATCGTTAGATATCTTATTTGTAGAAAATCTCGTTCAGACGTTTAAAGTACATCAGTAAAACATAACAAATATTAACAGAAGGAATAGTTACGCAAATTAATGCGAAATCATTGCCTCAGAGATCGTTCTTGACCCACCTTCCGCATCTAATGTCTAACGTTTCTGATAATTCTTCCCTTCAGATTTAAGTTTGTTTATCTAAACCTTTATTGTTACCAGTAATTGATCAGTCAGCACGCTTTTAAAATGTCGCTAGTAGCGCGTATACACCTTTAACTAAACTATCGCGCAATTGTTTAGTTGTGCTTTGATTCCTATGAGCTTGTATAGGGTGCGCACACTACTCGATTTTTAGTTGTGCAACTAAGCTGTTGAATGGGCTGCGAAACAATCGACAACCGCAGAACAGTTAGGCGATGGTAGTCAAAGGAGTGCGCCCGCTCTATAATTAATTAAAAAGCGTATCTAAGAATAACAA